GAGAAGGCAGGATCCAGGGTGGTTGGTAAAGACCAGGACATTTTTCTCCTTCCTGCTGAGGCAGAAGTCTTTGAAGACAGCAGGGGTCTCTGCTTTGAATCTGTGACATCATACAGTTTAATTCTTTCATAATCCTTTGTGAGAGGGCTTCCAAAAATACCTTATCCTTAAGCAATTTTCATTATGGATGTTTGTAGCTCAAACCTTGTAATTCGGGTTCCTTTAGATCCCAGTGGAGTTTTCCTTTTTCTTTCCTGGCTTTCTCTGATGTCAGGCCAAACAGAAATTCGCATAGAGGGTATGAGTCCCACATTCCCCTGGCAATATATCCGAACAGCCCCGGGAGTATATTAATAGCCTGGAGTCAAGGTACAAATGGTTATTTATATGTGTAGGTGATGGCTAAAGTACACCCTCTAGTAATTATTCACAATTAACAAGCACTTCAGTAAATGAACAAAATCTGTTCTTAATCCATTGAGGCAGCAATTCTTTATCCAGAACTCATGTAGCTGAAACTTCTGGTTAACCAGCCCTCCCTCACAGCTCCAGAACAAAGCTAATTAGAGATTATAATCCTGACCTTCAGGCTCCTTTCAGAGCCTGAAGGGTACTTGAGTCATCAATAAAATATAATGTGTTCAGTAGCGTCTCAGTTGACAAGAATAATAGAGTTGAAAATCAGTGAACTCTGTGGACCCGTTAACTCTGTGTTCACTGGAAGCCATACGGCAACTCTCTTGCAGTGAGCTCTTGCTACCTGCCAGGTTGGTCAGAAGACAGGGCTTGTCTTTTCTTCTTGTATCACAAACAGCAGTGTATTCAATGAATGAAAACCTCATTTATTGACCGCGTACATGTGATAAAATGTTGGCTGAGTCAGGATCCTTGAGAGATGCATAAACTTTATGTCCACCCGTGTGATCTGTTACATTTCTGCCAGTCTCTTCTTCCCTTGCTCCCTACATTCAGTTGGGCAACAGTTCCTGCCAGTGCTTTTAAAAGGTATCCAAAATCAGACTGCATCTGACCGTTCGACAGAGCCTACCTTGACCCCAACCAGAACTTTCCCTCATTGCAAGTTAAAGTCTCATTAACAGAATCCCTGTTCCCCTGCATCTCATCACACTTAGAATACAACATAATCTCCTTACAAGGACTTTACGTGACTAGATCTCCGCCACCTCTTTGACCTCGGCCCCTACCACTGCACACTCCCTCGCTCGGTCCCAGCCACCCTGGCCTTGCTATGCCTCAAGTCTGCCAAACTTAATCTTTTCGTTTGTTTGTTTGTTTGTTTATTTTTGGTACCAGGGATCAAACTCGGGTCATTGCACCTGCAAGGCAGGTGGTGGAACCACTGAGCTAAATTCCTGGCCCTGCCAAATTCAATCTTGCTACAATACCTTTGCACAGACTACTTTCTCCACCTGGGATGTTTGTTGTTCACATGGTCTCTTGGCTCATTCTTCCATTTCATTTGGGTTTCTGCTCAAATATCACCCTGTCAGAGAGACTTTCCTGGGTGCCATATCTAAAATATCGGTCCTGTTCTTTCATTTTGTATTTCCTTATGCTGCTGTGGTATTGTACAGAGCATGTAACACTGCTTTATTATGCATAATCCTGTTTGTAAATATTGACTTGTTTGATCCTGATGACTGGAAAGGATGGCAGCTCTCATGTAGAGGGCTCTCATGGTGTGCAGGAAGGTCCCAAGAACACCCCCAATGCTGCTCCAGGTGGAGGGTGGCGGGCAGTCCTTGGGCAAACAGTGGGGAACCAGAGGTCTCCTCTCCTACTTGTCCCTTCTCAGCATTACCCACCTGCCCAGTCTGCTAGAATTTGAACTCAGTGGGGGCCAGATCAAAGCTGACTTTCCATTTTCCACAACAGTGCCTGGTACGTGGCAGAACCTCAGCAAACAACTACTGATTTAATAAATAAACTAAGAATTTAGACCCATCAAGGCAGCTTAGTAAAGTGTCTGGTTACAAAAAAAATCCTGGAGGAAAAAGGATTCTAAGAATTTTCCAACCAGCAGGTGCAGCACTTATATGAAATAAATGGCAAGACTTCATAGAGGCATATGAATGCTGACAAATAAATGAGGAGGCATATGATGTTTTTGGATGGAGAGAGTTAACATTTTAAAGAAAACAATTTTCCCCACGGTAGCTCATAAATTGAATGCAATTTCAACCCAATGCCCTTAGGAGTTTATTGTATAAATTGACAAAATTATTCACCGACTCATCTGGAAAGATAAATAGGGAAAAACCACCAAAGAATTTTTGGAAAAATAATAACAATGAGAAGAGAACTTCAATGTTCAGATTCTAATATGTATTATAAAACTATAATGATTAAGATAGTGTATTCCTAGGGCAGGAATATACAAAAAAAATCAGTGAAACAGAAGAGAAAATTTACAAAGAGAAAAAAATGGTATATTAGAATTAACTGTAAGGATTGGGTCATAATTCCTGGGGTAAAATAAATATTCACAAATCTGTACTGATATAAATACATATTTTTTGGGGGGAGAGAAGAGGCACTTCTTCCTTACAGAGGGACTCCAATTACTAAATGTGGAGGGATGATGGAGAGAGAAAATTGTCATTAGGCAAACATTGCAAGAGGAATTGTTACAGACAAGTATTGGTAGAGGCTAAAATTAGTAGTTGGAAGTGTGATGGGAGACATGATATTTGCATGATCCCTGAACATTTCCCCAGGAGATGTTTACTAATTACTAAGTGCCAAATAATAATAACCCAGTGATGAAACCTGGCAGCCACCACTTTAACTGAGTGGCTGAGGTTAATATCACATGTAATGGGACAAATGGGCATTCTGTACCCCTGATGTGATACACTGAGGACAGAGCATCACTTCTGTGATACTCTTGCTGCAAATGCACAACCTCAATATTTCTCAGTGAGAAAACATGAGGGAAACCTAAACGGAGGACCATCCCACACCATAGTTGAGCAGTACTCTTTCAAAGTGTCGCAGACCCAAAAGATAAGGAAAGCCTGAGCAATTGTCAGATGGGAGCTAACTGAGGAGACCTGACAAGTAAAGGTATTGTAGGATCTTGGATGGAATCCTAGATTAGAAAAAGGACATTGCTAGGAAAGCTGGCAAAAAGCAAACAAAGTCTGTAGATTAGTTTATACTGATACTAATTTGTATTGATACTAATTTTCTGGCTTTAATAATTGTACTACGGTTCTGTAAGATCTTAATATTAGGGGAGCAGAGTGAAAGGCGTATGGGAATGCTCAGTTCTATTTTTTGCAAATTTTTTGAATGTCTAAAATTTAAAGCTAAAAAATAGTGCACTAGAAAAGCAAAATAAGGGAAATAATGGATTATTCAGTTAATGATACAATTAGCTAACCATTTGGAGAAATATATAATTTTATTCTATATTATATGTTTTATGTATAAAAGCATAATTTATACCACTTATCAAAAATTAATTCCGTATGATTAGGTATCTCTAAGCAACAGATAATGATAGAAAGTTGCATATTCTTTTTATAGCCAAGTAAGAGAAATCCAGGTTGAATGATATAATGCTTGAAAATGAATTTTTCATGTATCCACAATAATTAGAAATGAGCTAACGTCTGTACTACTATTTTGATTTTTACATTTATAGTTTAGAAATTTATATTTATGTTAATTATATTTTTCTGAAATGTAAATTATTGTCTAAACCTTTCTAATGATCTTACTTTGGGATATCCTAGTTAGTTATCAGCTAAAGTTCAGAGAGACTTGGGTTCAAATTTGAGCCCCACTGCAAGTTAGCTTGTATCTGTAAGTATGTGTTAGAAACTAATTCATTAGTTAGACTGGTATTTGTTGTGATTTTCACAGACATGATGGTGTATTTTTATTCTGTTTTTTTTTTGCTTTTATTCTCTATTAATTCATTTGTGAACAGGAGGTGACGATATGTCTCCTAGGCTTGTTGACAGGTGATATGATAGCATGTTGCAGAACTTGGGAAAATCCTGGTATACTGTAGGCACTCACTTAATGTTGGTGCCTCCTACATCCATAAATTAGGCTAATTCACATGTAAGTAGCCACACACAATCACCTAAATTATAAAAACTAATATTTAAGAGCACAATGTAGTAATTAAGAAAGCACAGACTCTGGAACTAGAGCAGGCTGAAATTCTAGCTCTTTTACATATTGGTGGTGTGATTCTGAGAGTTACTTAAGCTGTCTGTGCCTTGGTTCCCTGTCGTACAAACTGGGGATAACAATAGGATCTGCCCCATGAAGGTGTAAAAGATTAAATGGGTTAATATTTGAAATGCACTTGGAGCACACACTAGGGACCATAAAAAGGTTTCCCAAATAGAATACAAATTATACTTAGCCTTTTAAGATAGATCATGAGAGCAAAAAAGCCCTTGACTCTGCACTGAGGCTGGGGAAATGTGTCCTCAGTTATCTCTCTGTAAAGGCCTGGCCAACCCCTGGGAGTCAGCCCATGCCTTTGGCCCTGGGCCTAGAGATCAAAAGTTTCATTCACAAAAAGCACACAGCAAGGCCACAGGCTGGTGAGGGGTGAGGGGAGGGAAGGGATGGTCAGGGAGGAGAGATGGAAGCTTGGCTATTTCATTAGAACTGTAGCAAATACAAGGATAGTGGTTTCAGACAGCTTTGCCAATGAATTATTAACCTTAACCCTTTTGACATTCTAGCTGCAGAATAAATCATGTTGTGTTAAATAACACAAGCTTGCTGATAACTAAGAGGGAAACAGGAGGCTACTCTTTAAACATGGAAACAATTCCTTATAGTTCATGAAATGTTTCACAAAGATGCTAACAGATTGTTTTCCTGCAGAGAAGAGAGATTACCCAGCAGGAAGAAAGTTCATGAGGGGGTTCAGGGGACAGCAGGACACATGTGATCCAGACCCGAAGTTGGTGTTCAGCTGGTATTCCCTGCTACAGCAAACCTCCAGGGCTCTGTTTTGATTGCTCCTGCCCAGGCCTATTTGCTATTTAATATTTTTAATAGCACTTCTGTTTGGGACCATGGTGATGTGATTATAATGAGACTTTTTCCATGCACCAGTAGATAATTACTTGAGCTCCAAGAGATATGAAAAGTAAAATCTGTTTGCTTTGTCCAAGGCACTGGTTGCCAAGTAACCACTTAGCTTCTGAACTTTGACCCAAGTTAGTGGCCATAACTTAACTTTTTCTTTTTTACTTGCATGGTTCATTAATATATAACCCTGTGTTTAGCTTAATTCTGCGGGAAATTAGGCTGAACCTTGGCCATTGTCTTAAGCAATGAGGATGTTATAGTGTGCCTACCTTTCTAAACATTATAAATGAAAAACCATTGAGTCATGTGAACAAACACACATAAAATAAGATTGCAAGATGCAGAATTTTGGGAGTATACTAACGACAGTGTGAGAAACAGAGCCAGCTTTCTTTGGAACTGTGGAAGAAGAGTGAGGGCATCTTGAAAGTCTAAGGTTCTGGGGTGAAGAGAAAAGAGAGAAGCAGCAAACAGCACCAGAAATCTTTGATGATCCTTTGCTTCATGAACAAAGAGTGACTCTGTGAGGTACGTTAGAGATCTAGGGAGTTGTCACCGTCGCAATCTTCCACGAAGGATGTGTAATGTGGGAGAGTTAGTGTATCAGTTGGTGCTCACTGGAGAAATAGATTTAATGCAAGATATACAAATGTGCAGGAATTTACAAGATTGGCTCATTTCATTGGGTCTTTCTTACTCAAGGTGACACAATCAGTTAACTGTCACAGACAGTTAAGGGAAACCCAACAAGGGACAGTACAGCATCTGGCAGCTGGCAGTGGGGCCGTCCTTCCTACTCCAGGCCTGAAGGAACAAGGGGAGGAAGCAGTTCCTGGAACGTGAAGAAGGGTTCAGCTCACTTGGTCTGGGTTCAGGGGACTTGGCTATAAATCCCATTCCCTAAGTCAGTAAGTGAGGGGAGGATCTTCTCCCCGCAAATAGAATGATTCCAACATGTGTTATATGCTGGATCCCAGTGAAGCTTAGATCCACGTAGTAGGTGTCTTGATAGTATACTCTTTAGTGAGCGGGTGCACAAAGGACAGCAAGGATTAACTTCACAAAGAGGGGAAAAATAGCGGAGGGCTGCCAGATGGGTGTGGCGTCCCTGAGTAGAAGGACACAGCCAGTTTGCACTCCCCTTGGAAGAACAGAGCTGGGGGAATAATGATAGCAATACCTAATCACACATCCTAGCCATTGGGTCCCTTTCTTTGAGAGCTTTCTCCAAGTACACTCACAAGGTAGGGCAAAGTTCTGGGGATACCTTTCCATCTCTTGACTGGGATGTTTTCAATTATCTCCACCTTCTGGTACTGACACTCATATTATTCCCACCCTTAAGTGAGTGCTGGATTTTTTTTTTTTAAGTTAGGTTTTTAAAATGAGTCCATGTTTGCCGTACACAATGATTACATTCCTCATGGGGAGTTGGTATAGGTACATAACACATCTTAATTCTTTCTCCATCCCCTTCCCCTCGGGAGCTGGACTTATTGACTCATTTGTAATGAATAAAATATAGTGGAAGTCATGGACATCACTTCTAAGATTTGGTTATAAAAAGAGTGTGGTTTCCATCTTGGGTATATTGTGTCTTGCTTTCTCCTCACTCCTTTAAGGGAAGCCAGTTGCTGTGTTGTGAGCTGCTTATGGAGGGGGCCTGGGGCCCACCCAGCAAGAAAGGAGAGCCTCTTGCCAGCAGCCAGTGAGGAACTGAATCCTGCCAACAACCACAAAGGGGGCCTATAAGCGAATTCTTCTCCAGTTGACTCTTTTAATGAGACGGTTGCCCAGGCTGACAGTTAACTGCAGTCTTCTGAGATGAGATTCGATAAGCCAGAGGTACCCAACTATGCTGTACCTGCAGCTTCTGATCCACAGAGACTAGGAGATATTACATGTGTGTTATTTTAAACTGCTAAATTTTGGGGAAATGTATCATAAAGCAATAAATAACTAAATAACACAATTTTCTTCCTCACTTTCCTACTGGCATTTTCTTCACTTCCCAAATAAACCATTTGTACTTGAATCCTTGATTCAAGGTCTTTTTCTGAGGGAAGCTCAAATTTCTATTTCTGGGGGAGCTCAAGTTACACACACACACACACACACGCACACACGCACAGAAATGCAGGCCAAGAGAGAGGCAGGGATTCCTGAGATCCTAACAGAGATAGACTCGGACTCTTGGTCTTGAGTCTGTGATCAGGCCCCACTTTCTACTGGGGGAGCACTAGGAGGGGGAATGGGTGAGGAGCAGAGTGACTGTGGAGCTTGCTGTCAGAGTACCTGGTTTCAAGTTCGACCCCTCCCTGTTCTTCTGGGATGATGACTGAGGTATTTAGTACTCCAGGGACTAAGTTTTCTCATGTGAAGAATTCTAGGAACCAAATGAAATGCCTGGGGATTAAAGGAGTTACAGCCAGTGACCAGGGCTTTGGTAACATGTGATTTCCTGTAAACATGAATCATTATCATGGCCAAGTGACCGTAGGTGTCAGTACTGCCAATCATAAGACTAGCCATGTAACCCTGGAGTGGCATGCCTCCTCAAGGGTTTGTCCTTGCCCTCTGGACTTCCCAGGCCTGATGGGCTGAGCAAGTTCTTTTCTCTGCCTGGAGTGACTGTTGACTGAGTGCTCTTGGAAAGTAGGCAAGCAGGCAGCAGGCCAGCCTGCTCTCAGCATGAGTGGCCCAGCAGTACTCTCTCCAACAGAACTATTGTGTCCCAAGGTCCTTTTAAAAGAATCCTATTTTAAAATGTTTATATACAAACTGGGGGAAGAATGGAGGTATTATGTCCATAATGGAAAATGTTCATACAAATGGACTCCATTTATTGTCCATTTTCAAGCCTGCTCCATGGGCTGCAGCAGTCAGAGCCAGGCCTAGGCATGTTGGGGTTGGCTGGCCGGTCTTTTCTTGGGGTTTTGATGGATTCTGTCAGTCAGGCTTCTTGGGGAAAGGCCTGTGCTTTGAGCTGTGGATTCTGAGTTTGCAGAATTCTAGGAGTTTCTCTGCAGCACTGCTTATCTTCTCTATCAATGGGGTCTGGCTACCTCTAGCGGATGGAAGATCCACTTTAGGAAAATCATTTTTCTTTGTAATCAAGGATTATAACATGTTTCAGTGAATTCTTCAAAATCACTTGTAATCATTGTCAAGAGTCCATGAGCATGGAGGGAAGTGCTGTGTACATCATCTCTCTCTTTCTCTCTCTCTCTCTGAAGGTGACTGTCAGTTATTGTCTTGCTGAATCTGTGTCCACAAACATAATCTCAAGGCTCAAGGCTCACCTGTGCAGAATGTCTATGATTGTGATAGGAGTGTATTAGGGAAGGTACATTGACGGGGTGACAAAAGAACATATTTTTGAGTGCTGACTATGTCCTAGGAAGATTGTTGAGAACTCTATCTCCATGATTTCATTTTAGGTCCACAGTAGTCCTGAGAGGGAAATAGCATCATTATTTTCATATGACAGGTGATAAAGCTGAAGCTCAGTGAGGTGAGGATAGTTACCCATATCACACAGTACTGGAAAAGGGATTCAAGCCATTATTGCTTCATGATATAATTGTGCTTACAAATGATTCATTAATTCTAACAAAATCCCTGGAGAAACACACTTGCGTCTGCCGAGGGGAGAAGCTCTCATCCTTCCCACCTCTGTAATATACCAACACTGCATGTACAGTCCACCCCAGCAGAGAGATCATTGCTCAGCAAATACTTGGTTTCTCCATGGCTGCTTGGGAAGTGGGCAGTTTCTTGTCACCCTGATCTGGGCATGACTATGTAGTCTACTTTGGTTGGTGGGATGTTCTTGGGATTGACATAAGCAGAGACTAGAGATGTGCTTGCACTGTTTTGGTTTCCTTTCTGGGCTCCTATCTTTCTCCTTGAGAAGATTATATTTCAGCATCTGGTTCAAGTGGAATGAGAAACATTTAAAGTGGATTTGGATCCACTTAAGCTGGAGGCTAAGCCTGTCTGAATCCAGCCTAAATCAGTTGGCCGTAGCTGACACTGCAAATAAATGAATGAGAAAAAAATCCTGTTGCTGTTTGCCTTGGTACTTGTGGTTGTTTGTTATGAAGCAAAAACTGACTAACATAAGAATTGTAAACCAGAAGCACAAAAAAATCTTGGTTAAGCCTCAAAAGTCTATTTCCATATATTGATCTGTCTACCCAGACATTTAGTATGCAGTTAGTATGTGCCAGGCACTTATAACTATTTTCTGTATTAGTTTTATTGCTGCTATAACAAAATCCCATACATTTAGCAGCCTAAAATGACACACTTACAGTATCTCAGAGTTCCATGGGTCAGAAGTCTGGGAATAGCATGGCTAAACTGGTCCTCTGCTAAGAGTTCCCCATGGCTGAAATCAAGGTATTGGTGGGCGGTGTACCTCTCTGGCGGCTCTGAGCATGAATCCACTTCCAGGCTCATTCAGGTTGTTGGTGGAATTCAGCTCCTTGTAGCTATAGGACTCAGGTCCCTGTTTCTTTGCCGGCTGCCAGCAGGGGGTTGGCCTTTTCTCCCAGAGGCTGCCAGCATTCCTCCTCAGGTTTTCCACATGGACCACTCCAGCAATTACGGGTTGGGTCCAACCTGTGGTTGAATTGCTTCAATTTTCATTCTGCTCCACCCCTGTGGTTGTTGAGCCTGCTAAGACTGATGTAGAGATGGCCCCCTCCCACCCCAATTACATTCTAGAAGGACCAGAAAATTAATGCATATCCCACTTTAGAGGATGAATATTTACTGGAGAAAGCTCTGGGAAGGGAACCAATAGAGAAATGTGGTAGAACTGGGGATGGAAATTCTAGAAGTAAGAGCATTAACTCAACTGGTTGCTCAGAGAGTTTAGGAGGCATGAAGGGTAGGCTTGACTAGCTTATGATTTCCACCAGTAGATGGAGGAACAAAGATTTCAAGCTGGCCTCAGGACTCCTATTACCATGCTTGGCTGTGTGTATCTGTCACAGGCTGTCAGCCCCAATCTGGACATGCACAGTGGGTGCTGTGGTTATGACACTGGATGTGGACCCAAAGACAAGTCAGTTCTCCTTTGCTCACTAGCTCTGTGGTCTTGAGAAAGACAAGAAACCTGCCTGACCCTCAGTTTTCTTACCTGAGAAATATGATATGATTCTTTCCCTGTCTTCTTCTTAGACTCCCTGGGATGCTACCATTATGAGAGGAGATAAAAATGAAGAGTGTGGTGTGACTGACACATTCCTAAGTGCATGGCTGAATGTGTCCAGGAGATGGCTGGATTAAAGGATGACTATGCTGTGCTGCAGGACTCTGTTGTTCCTGTAAGGCTCACCTTGCTAGAAAGGAGCTAAGGTAACCTGGTCCTCTTGTGGAACACACAAGGGCAACTTAAGACCTGGAGGGGCTTTTACCCACTAACAACATCAAGAGGCCTTTTACAACACGAGGTGGAGTTGGTATTGGTCAGGACAGAGAAGTCACTCGCTGCCTCTGTTTATCTTTCCATTCTAAGGTAACTAAAGGCCAAGGCTTGTTCCTTACTCCAAACTGTTGATCGATAGGCTGAGAGGTATGTGGATAATATGGAGGGTTTAGAGTGAAAGGAAGTCAAACACACAGAGATGGAGGATAAAGCGGTAGTTACCAGAGACAGAGAGGGGAAGAACTGGGAAGACGAGGGTCAAAGGATACCATGCTAGGGCCAGATGGGAAGCACAGGTCTCACGACTGTAGTTAATATTGTATTGTAGTTTGGATATTTGCCAAAACAGATTGTCCGTCTTCTTGGCACTCACACAGAAAGGGTGGCTACACGAGATGATGGATGTGTTAACTTATTTGGCTAGAGTGGTTATTTCACTATGTATATCAAAACATCACATCATATATTCTAAATGTGTGTAATCAAGTACATAAATAAAGAAGGCTGGGATGCCCTGGATTCAATGTGGCTGCTTCCTGCTTGGTGGAGTCAAGAGCACAGGCCAGGCATCCTCAGGGCAGGAGGCTAAGCAGCCCAATAGCTTAGACCACGGCCTCTGCATCTGGCTGCTTGGATTCCACTCCAGTTTACCAAGCCTTGTGGCCTTGCCCAAATTCTTAATTTTGTTGAGGCTCAGTCTCAGTGACTCTACTATGAAATGGACACAATAAAGGTCTCTAACTCTTTGGGCTGGTGAGATAATCATGGGAGGGATTGGAACAGATGTATCAGGGACTTCTAATCCTCCTTGTCCCTCTGTCACCTGCAGGTTTGTTCACTTATCCTGCACATGCCATGGCCTCTCTCTTGCAAGCACCTGCAATTCTGTCTGCCCAAGTATTCTTCATGTCACAGGAGGGTGCTCAGGTCTTCCATGGGAGGTTTAGGGTGCCAGGGAGTTAATGTCCTAGGAGTGACTCAACCCCTGGGGATGGCCATTGGTGGATAAAAACCCCAGCTTCCTCACCCTCAGTGGAATAATTCTCAAGTTTGTAACAGAGAGTCTTCTAAAGTGTCCCCAGTAGCACTGAGTTCCAGTTGCTCACAGAGATGGCCTACTCATGTTTGTATCCTTCATTGACTTTAGTCTCTTCCCTGTCTGATCTGCTCACTCTCTCCCTGTGCTTCCTGAAATCACCTCCCAAATTACTCAAGCCTAAATCTTCGTTCCAGCCACTGGTTTGGGGAAACCCAATCAAATCACACTTAACACAAAGCTGGTATTGTAAGTGCTGTTTACTACTGTACTCGTGTCGTGTTAGCTCCACTGCCTGGCTCTGCAGCATCCCTGTCACACCCGCAGGTGTCTTGCATCCGTTCTTGGTTTGTGCACAGCTTTGGAGAACACGAGCTCTGGATGTGAGCTGAAAGGTGGCTGGTAAAGAGGGCCTCCCCTCCCTGAGTTCTGGCTTCAGCATCTGCCCACAGATATTTCCTGAAATCTCAGGGAGCTCAGCCCGCACTGGCGAGAGAGTGTCCTCCCTGTTGGATACAACTCATCCCTGAGATTAAGAGCATCTGTCAACTGCAGGCACCAGACAAGGTAGCTGGGTCTCAGTTTCCTTCTCTGTACAAGGGAAATAATTAAAACATAAACTTGTTCAGATGATTCAATGAGTTAATGCCTATGAAATGTTTATTACAGTGATGTGCAGAGAGAAGACTGAAAAAAAAAAAAAGAAGGAAACAGCAGCCAGAGATTCTCTCTACATCACCCTTCTCCCCTACGTCACTGGAAATCCAAGGCTCAGAGATGCGCTGGTTGGAACTTTCCAGTCTGCAGTCCCACCTGCCATGGGCTATAGAGGCAGAGGGACTGAGAGGGGCCAGGGAGGGCTCTTGCTTTCATAGCAACCTTTCTTGTGAAGTTTCTGCCAGTGGTAGCATCACTGATCAAATATTCATCAGACCAGCAATGTGCCCATCTCACTGAGCAAAGATAAAAATAAATGACACACATCTTCCTCCCAAGAAGCTCGTGGCCAAATGCTTCAGTGCAATAAGATCTGAGCTATTTGAAGGATGTTTTCAGGACTGTAGGAGAAGTTGATTTAGGAAGTTTCACATTAAAAAGCCCTGCTCCCTCTTTTTTGATACATAAACAGCCATATTAATCATTAACATTTACTGATGCTTTCTCTGAAGTGGGCAAAGTTTTAAGTAGTTTATGTGAATTAACTCAGTTGATCCTATACTGATCAAGACTCTATTCTGGTGTGGATAAGCATGGACTATAATTATTATCCCCATTTTATAGATAAGAAAAAATCCCAGAGATGCCATGCAGCTTGCTCATAGCACACAGTTTATAAGTGGGGCAAAATGGGATTTGGACTTCAACAGTTTGGACTCAAAGACCTTAGTAACACAGGGGACCTGCTCATCTGAACTTTCAGGGTTCTGTCTGGGGAATTTTTGAGCAACTTCAGCTAATGATGTTGAGGTTGATTTTGGCCCTTTGACTCCTTTCTGTACTCTGGTGAGTTGCAAGTTCTGAGTTTGGGTTGATTTGCAGGGAAACTAATTCAATCTTATGTGCAAGTACAACTGTATGATGGCTCTTTCTTGGCTTCCTGGGGATCCCACTGTTGCTTTTAAGTGTGATGAATTTATTCTGGTTTCATAGGACATCACTGGACCAACTAGCCAACCATTTCCCTCATAGGTGAGGGCTTTGAACTTTTTCAGAGTTTCACGGTTCACAAAAGCTTTTGTTCGCAAACAATTTGGTTCATAAACAGAAGTGTTTGGCAAAATTTCATTTTTGTTTTCAAACTCTACATTGGGTGGGAAAGATGGCTGTGGTCATGTTTCCCACACAAACACAAATGTCGCCATCTTTTCCAAAATTGTAGAACAAATTAAGTTTGTGAACCGAGGTACCACTGTATTAGAAATGACATCCCATTACTTCTTTTTCCTAGAAATGAGTCACCATGTCCAGCCCACACTCAAAGGAGGGGGAATTATGGTTCCTCTTGAATGGAGGATCATTAAAGACTTTGTTGGTATCTCTTCTAAAACTGCTAGAGTAATTTCACTCAGTTTCAATTTGTCCTTTCCCTTGTATTATTATTGGATTTGTATTTGTCTGGGCTGCACTGTTTAAAAATGAAAATTCTCTTCTCTTTTTTTTCCTTTTTCCCACCCTTGTATCTCAGTACCCAACACACAGTTATCACTTAATAAATATTTATTTAATTAATGAATAATCTTAATTTAAAAAAATCTTTGATAAAAGAAGTCACAATCAACTTTTGTAGAATATCATTGAATCTCAATATATACATGAACATTCTTGCTGCTGGCCTTTTAATTTCAGTTTGAGGGTAAGGCATGGAGTCAGCAGTCCATGATTTTTTTCTTCATTCATTAATCAATCATTTATTGAGCACTTATTCTATGCTAAAAAGAGTGCCAGGTTCTGAGGATGCAGAGATTAATAGCATCCACAATGCCTTTTATAAATTAAGATGCCCATGTTAAGTATATAAAGCAGTCTGGTGCTTTTTGAATCATCTTCAAACATGAACGACAATAGGCAGCTGTATTAGAATCAGACCCTTGATATTGAGTTTGCAGAAGCTGTTTTATCAGCGCAGCATGTTGCCCCAGCGAAGTGCAGTATTTACATTTCATTCCAAAGTGGTTGTGCCAACATCAATCCTCTGGTTTTTGTACTTTTGGTCACTGTTTGCAAATGTATAAAAGGTTTTGTCAAAGGAGCTGGATAAAGATGGGAAGAGAATGGCGTTACATATGACTAGCAGAGATCGTAGAGTGGCTGATGCTGGGAAGCATTCTACTAAGGTCAGGGGGGCATACGTGGAGAGCGAAGGTAATGTGAAGAAATGGAATTGGGAACGATGAAATAGCAGCAAAGATGGGCTTTAGCGGAAATGAGTGCAGTGGTTGAGGAGCCCAGGTCTGAGGCTCAGTTACTGTCAGTCTGGGTGCCCACACCGCTACACAGACCCACAGCCTCCCTTTCCTGGACCCCTGCGTCATCATTTGTAAGATAAGTGCATTGGGTCAGACCAGAGGCTTTAAACCCATTTTACTTTTTCTTAGCATATCTGTTACAGATAGCACTTAGAACACAACACACAGACAGAAAACAGATAAGACTTGGGGCTCACTTCCGAGAGTAATAAGAATAGAGGCTGGGATCCCATGCTGTTGGTGCTTCTTCCAGTTAATTCCACTGAAGCCCAAAGGCTATTTTGCTTCCTCTGTGGTGGGCTGGAAGTGCTGGGGAGTTAACTCCCCACAAGCTAACCTCAACCAACATCGGATGGAAGTGAGGTGCTTATATGCCAGCCCCTACCCTCAGGTCGGATGTCCCTGCAGTGTGTGATCCAGGCTGGCTGCCAAGTTCCCTAAGAGGCACAGGGCCGAGTGCCCACAATGGCCAACCCACTGATAACGTACTTTGACCAGCTACCTCCCTTCCTTTTCTTACTCCCCTACTTGGGATTCCTGGGATCACCTCCCAAATAAACAGTTTGCACTTAACTTTTTGTCTCTGGTTCATCTTCTTGGGGGACCCAAATCAGGAAAGCAAAAATCTCCCTCACGCTTCTTCACCTGCCTCAGACACCTCTGCAGGGCTCCTAGGTCCAGAGCAGTTTGTAAGCCACTGGACTAAAAAAACCCAAAAACTCTCTATATTTCCTTATGGCTGTGGCATTCAAAAATGTGCCACTTCTCTGCTTCAGTAGAACGTCATGTATTAAAAAGCAACTCTACACTGGTGGAAAGAACCAGGGATTCTTTATAAACCCAAAGTCAGATTATGTTTCGGCTTTAGAAGGGTTATTATGAGCTAGCTTTCTCTTTCGGCCACTTGCTTTATGGAGTGAGGAAATGAATTTGTGCCAATTGGCTGATACACAGGCCCCACATAGCTTAGGGACAATGAAATTTGAATGGCTTTTGCATGAATAAAGACCCCTCCTTTGGATAGGTGATTTTCTTTCTGATTCTTCTTCCCACCTTCACATGAAGGAGAAAGAGAGGCCCTTACAGACTTTTCTCCCCTGCAGCTGCAAAGAAGAAGCTCAGAGCCTGGAATACAAGTGATTGCTCATTCCAGCACCCCCACACTGACTGCTTCAGGGCATGGTGGCTCGGCTTCCACTGTCCACACCTGCTTTCTAGGGAATTCGCAGTGCTAGGGAGCAGCCCTCAGACAATGACTGATGAGGCTGGGTGACAGCCACAGCCTGGCTACCTTGTCCTTGACGTAAGAACAGCCAGATGTGTGTGTGTAGGACACCATTACCCTTGGGATAAGCTTCTGTCGCCCCCGGCGATAACTTGTTTGGTGACTGACAGTCCCTGCACTGGCTGTCTTCCTTCCCTGCCTCACTTCCCCACTCCTCTACTGGTATTTTCTTGTGCCTCTCAAATAAATTTCAGGTGTGCAAATCCTTATTTCAGAATTTGCTTCTGGGGGAATGCAAACTAAAATGTTTCCCAGAGGGTAGTTCCTGCGCAGTCCTCATTTGTTCCCAGGAGCCAATTATATTGGCCACAGCATTAGGTGAGGGCTGTTGAGGCCTGGTGTACCAAGAGTTGCCCCAGGAGACCACCTTGGGCTAGGAGTGCAGGCTGCAGCACATGTGTCCTACCTCTATAAGGAGCTCTGGGCTCACTACCTCAGGGACCAGGATCGGCCCTGCTTCTGTGCTCGGATCCTGCACATTAGGTGCCTTCCTTGGTCACCTATGGTCTCTGTCCACCACTGTCTATTCTGCCCTATGCTCCAGCAGTAGCAAATGATGTGGAGTCTTCCTACCCACATTTCCCTTCTCCCTTGTGCCTGTTGACTTTGACTTACTGTTCCCTCTGCCTTTAATGTTCCTCTCTACCTTTCTCTTAGCAAACCTATTCATCCTTAAAGAGCCAGATCAAGGGTCACCTCCTCTATGAAGCCTTCACTGCCTCCTTCAGGCAGGTGCGGCGCCACTAAGCTACATCCCCAGGCCAACTCGCTGCCTCCTTCAGATGTGTGAAGAGCCCTTGACCTTACCGTGCCTCTCCCTCCCTCAGCATCTTCCTCTCACAGCCCTTTCATACGCTGTGCTGAAATCATCAGTGTATGCATCTGTGTCTGCACCAGAGTGTGGGCTCTGTGGAAACCCAGGCTGTGTCTTTCAGTGTCCAAATCGCAGTGCCCTTCAAAGGGTCTGCCACACTGTAGGTACCTGGTGTAGGTTGCCCCAAAGCATACCCTGAAGTGGGCATCTGTTTGCAAGGGTTGAATTAAGAAATTGCTCCCAGGAGAAACCAGCAATGGTGTGTGTGACGGCCCTGGAAGGAGAGGGGGCAGAGGAAAGATGTGATTCCGGGTCAAAGTCCCACAGAGGGAGCTTCAGCCTGATCCTGTAGGGCACCCTGCATCAGGAGTTATGCACAGCAGTTGTCCTGAAAGCTGGACCTTTATACCCTACACCTGTCAGTCCCTGCAGAGACTGCTGCAGGGAGAAAGAAACCCTAGGACGTCTACACCTGCATGTGGGCCAAGTGGCTTCAGGGCCCCCAAGCCAGGCTTCCCAGATAGCCCCAGATGTGGGCGGCTGGAGGCAAAGACCAGGGTGGCTTCACTCACAGAAGCCGGGGTGACAGTCCGCCCGAAAGGTAGTAACTCTGAGGATCAGGCCCAGTACCAAGAGTATCCACTAGAGGGCTCACCACGCATCCGACGACCTGCACAGACATTCTGGGCAGACCATGCAGGCCTTGGTACCTCAAAGCTTAGCTTAATCTTCCCCTGTGGCTCACAGACCAACCCTCCTCGCTCCCATTCTTCCCGTGGTCTCTGGGTGTGAGGCTGCATAACTCTGTGTGTCTCTCAGTCACCTCTGGCTTTAGCCCCCCAAGCCCCCATAAATTTACCTTTCATTCATTCACCCCAAATCGCTCAGTTCTTTCAAAATCTTTTTGGAAGCCATCCCCTTTCTTCCATTTTCATTATTTTGCTGCTACATTTTTAGAGCAGAATATGGTACTTGTGCGTATTTGTTGACAGACCGACCGAATGAATGGATAATGGGCCAACCTACTGAGGGATGTCCACCCTTCATAACTTGGCATGCAACTTTTCCATGAGTTTATCTGTTGCACCCAGTGAGAGAGAACCAACCAGAGACCGACGTTAAATCCACACAGGAGTTTATTACCGGCCGGGACCCGAGCCGAGCATCGGACTGAGACTCGACTGTGGGGAGACAAACATGTTTTATACACCTTTGAGGCCAACGGTTTCTAGGCCCCCCTATGGGATAGAACTAGTAAAGCAAGCGAAAGGTACAGAAGCGGAACGCCCTGCTGTTAGAACATTTGTAAAACAATAGTTGATTAATTGCTGTTTTTAAGAGACTCTCTAAGGGGAGGAGGTTTCTTTTTTTTTTTTTTTCCTTAAATTCTTTTATTGGTACATTGTAGGTATACAACACAATTACATTTCTCATTGGGAATTGTACCTTTACATGATGCATCTTGGTTCTTATTTTTTCCCCATTCCTAGCCCTCCCTTCACCCCCTCCACCCTTCCCTATTTACAAAGACTTTATTTCCATTTTTTCCATTTCTCATCATTTTTCCTTTCCCTTCTTTCCTTTCCCCTGCCCCTCCCACTACCCCTACCCCTTTGGACCTTTTCTTCCTATTTTACATTATCGATTATTCATTCTAATCATTGGTACATTTTAGGTATACAATATAACGTTTCTAAGCTTCCTCCTTCTGAGTTCATCTAAAGGGCAGGCAGGTGGGTCAAGCAGCAATATGGAGTCTGTCTTGCTAACAAGGGTCCTTCATATCCCAACCCATTTTTTAGTTCTTATACATTCTTACATACACATTTTACTCAGGACAAAACAAACTATAGTCAGCCTTGTGTATCTGCAGGTTCCACACTCATAGATTCAACCAACTGTGGATGGAAAATACTTGAAAACATTTGTCTATACTGACATGTACAGATGCTTTTCCTGGCTATCATCCCTGAAATGATACGGTGTCATAATTATTTAAATAGAATTTGCATTGTAGCAGGTATCATAAGTTGTCTAGAGATGATTTAAAGTATAGGGGTGGATGTGCCTAGGTTACATGCAAACCCACACCCTTTTATGTAAGAACTTGGAGCATCACAGATT